AGACTGTCTTTTTATTTGTACCAGTTTTAAATCATCGATAGTCATTAGTATTTTCCGTCTATGCATGATTGATGTAATTCCTATATCTTGTAAACTTTGATCATCAACAGCAGATAGAAGCATTCGTCCATCTACACCATGTGAATATAATTTATCAGCATCACTGGCATACATTTTACCAAAATGTTTCAGCCATTCATAAACTTGACGAAGATTCCACAGTTCTACTCCACCTAGAAAAAAAAATATATGCGGTCATATCTCCGTAGAGCCGACTCTACCAGAACTATAAGCCTATTTTCTCTGCAATTTTCGAAGCGGAGAAGGGCAGAAATTAGACCACGTCCGTAACAGTAGCATTTAGACTAGGAAAGAATACTAGCTGGGACTTACGTGTTTCGAAACTAGCTACTAACTCCTCATCTCTAGTGTTTGTGTCGTGCACAGACGAGTTTGATGATGCTCCGTATTCGTCCACAGCTTGGTTAGTTGATGATGTCTACAAGGTAAAAACATGAACGGTGGATTGAGTTAGAGAGAGGATTGAGGCTAGCGTTTGAAGAAATGCGCTTTAGAAACAATCATTATACGGTCATAGGGGATCGAAAAAACACTCGAGCGCATTATTGTTGGAGCTTTATGCATTAAACCTTTTGGTAGGAAGAGACGCCGCTGATTTTCTCTCGTTTAAAACTTTTGATTTTGTACGAGTTTTCGTAAAACTTGAATACCTTGACCCAATTTAAACTTTTAATTTTTGGTTTTGGTCAACACTCATCAATATGCTTTCATACAGATTTTCATTTCAAACGAGCCATTTGAGCAGCTTTCACAGTGTACAGTGGTAGATGTATGTAGTAGTTCATCACTCAAGTTGTTGAAGCTGTAAAATCCTGAAAAGTAGTACATACTGGTCCTGTGTAACGTGGATCTGACCAAGTTGTTGCTCGGGGCCCTGTAGAGAAACATGGCTATTGTTTTTATTGCAGCAAGAAAACAGCGTAAAAACTTACCATGATCAATATAATAAACCCTCCCATCAGACATTGTTCTGATCTCCCAATTATCCTAAAAGCATCAAAATACATTCGCGCGATGCAAATCCTTCGCTGGTTCAATCTGTGATTGATCGATGATAACGGTCATCTTACCGGCAGTGGAGCATCTGGTATCAATTGCTTTGATGGTTTTGGTAGAGAAGATGACCTATTAGTGCGAGGATCGACCTGAAAGACATACAAACTGAAGTCACCCTCAAAGTGACCATAGAATGCTGCTGTCGCTGTTCCTTCTTTGTGAGAAGGATTTATAGACTGTCTTTTTATTTGTACCAGTTTTAAATCATCGATAGTCATTAGTATTTTCCGTCTATGCATGATTGATGTAA